GGCCGGCCCCGCCGTGTCGCTGGAGCCGGCTGGCAGCGTGTGGGAGCCGCGGCCCGGATCCTGCCTGTGCAGGTCAGGCCTGCCCACGTGCCCTCCCTGCCCCCCACCGGCTCAGTGGGGGTCGCCCTCCAGCAGTCGTGGGCTCCTCCGGTGGCGGCCCTGCAGCCCCTAGCTGAGGGCCCTCAGGCCTGCCTCAGTCCGGGGCTCCCCGGCCCCCAGTGTCTGGCCCAAGCCTAGCACTTCATCTGGGTCGCACCGGTGCCTCCCAAGGGCGCCTGTGCTGGGAGGCCCCAGGGAAACCCCAGGGTGCTGGCCCAAGGGGGCGTTCTTAGCCGTGGTCACCCGCCACAGCCCGTGGACTGGGTGCAGGGAGGCACCGCCTTGGAGGGCCCCTGGACCCTCTGCTCAGCAGGCCCTGGGCCGGGAAGGGCCCCCCAACTCCCCGTGAGGGCCTGCCACACCCCGAGCAGCGGGAGCTGCCTCCGCCCGAGGTTCCAGACAGGTGTGGACCGGCTCCTGGGGCACAGGTCAGCCGCGGCACCCCCGGGCTCTGGTGTGTGTGGCAGCAGCAGCTGAGAGAAACCGGCCTAGGGGAAGGGGTGCTGGGACGTCCTGGGGCGTTCCCCGTGTTCTCAGACGTGCCCGCCAGAGAGAACAGGCAGCTCTGCTAGGGGCCACCCCACCACGGGCTGGGAGTTCACCGAGCCCGCAGCAGGCAGAGTGCTCGGAGGGGTGATGCGTCTGGGGGTCACCGCACCTCCCTCAGACACCCCGCTGCTCTTCGAAGGGACCCAGCCCCAGAGCCCTCCTGATGCGAGGGTGCCCCGAGCCCCCAGGAGTTCCCCGGAAGCAGGGTGCCAGTCACCCCGGGTCACAGGAGCACACCTCTTCAGGGAGTCACTGGCTCCCCTGCACCCCAGTCAGGCGTGCTCCTAATCCGTCACTTAAGCCCACACAGGTCCCCCCACACCCCCTCTAGGGTCTGGCTCCCAGCCCTGCCCCCTGCCACAGGGCTGACGAGACGGCACGTGGCCACTGGGTGCCCAGTCCGCCAGCTCTCACCCAGTGCTGGCGGCAAGGCGCTCACCACCCCTGGAAGCATCTGTGTCTGCACACCCCAACTCTGCCGGGGGTCGACTCACCCCAAGTGGACACGGCCACGGCGCCCCCGCCACCCGGCAGGTGCCCAGAGACCGCAGCCCACGGCCAAGGAACGCTGAGGCCAAAGGCCTGTTTATTTCCCGACGGAGAACACGCTCGCCGGGCCCCGACTGAGTCCCCCCTTGGGGCAGGCGGCTGTCACTTCCAGAAGAGAACGTTCCAGAAGAGCAGCCAGCAGGGGTAGAGGCCCAGCGAGAGCAGCGGGAAGAGCAGCGCGCCGTAGGAGTGGTGATCCAGCACGCCCTGCGCCAGCGCCGCCAGGAAGAGCTGCCAGCCCTCGGCCGGCGACAGCGGCGCCTCCCGCAGCTCGCGCCACAGGAACAGGCCGCCCA